TTTTTTATACTTTGCTGTAAACTGCCCAGCGAGCTTTGGCTATGGGCAGTATAGAAATGAAATAAATAATGCATGGTCTGGGACCTCAGAACGCCTCACACAACCTCAAACAACCCAGACCTATCATCTTAATCTGCAGCCTTCTCCTGGCTCCAAGGAAAGCCCACCGAAGCAACAAAGGGGAGTGTCTTTTCAGTGGTGCCCCCCCCCACAAGTGGAACAGTCTCCCCACTGAGGTCTCCCTGGTGCCCAAACCATCATCTTTCTGGCATCAGGTTAAAACCACCTTCTATTCCCAGGCATTTAATGGTATTTAGTGGCTTATATTGGGTTCTGTCTGCTGTTTTAAATAGATCTAGTTTTTAATGGACATTTTTTAGATGTTAAGCTGGTGTGTATTTTTTTATATTGGAGTATTTAGCTGTTTTAAGTTTGCATGCTGGAATTTTATACTGTGTTGTTGTACATGTGTTTATTGTACCTTTTGTATACAAAAGAAATAGAAATGAAATATTAATAAATTAATGTGGTTAATTGTTTCGAACCGCCCAGAAAGCTTCGGCCATGGGGCAGTACAGAAATGAGATCTTGTATAATAAGATGGCATACAAAAGCTTTTAATAAATGAATGAATGAAATGTGAATTCCAGTAGAAATTTGCTGTTTACCTCCTCCACTGAACCTGCATTCATGTACATAAATCACAGGTGATTGATCATATGTAGACTTATTTTAATCATATTAAAATATTTAGTGTTCAGAGTATTAGTCATTTCACATACAATCTCAGAAGGTCTTGCAGCTCCAAGGGGTAGGTGAAAAGGAAATTGGTGCAAGAATAAATTTTACTTTTTTCAGTCCCATGATCTGAGATCTACCTAGCAATAACAGTCTATCAAATTTATGAGCTTCAGTAAAAGAAGTCAAAAAAATACATATCCACCTAAAGGAAAGTGTTCATTATTTTTTAAAAGATAATCAGAAACTCTTCAAGTTTCTGACTGTGTTTTGCAAAATCTTATCAAAATCTTCTAGGTTTTGATTTGTTTGAAAAGTTTCCCTTTTTCTGTTAAGCACAGCAGATTGGTGACATAGAAATTTCTATGCAGACTGACACACTCTGTTCTCTAACAGACAATTTGACACATCAGGATAGAAATTTAATGTGTATTTAAATACTTAAAATATCTCCAACTTCTGGAAAACTTCAAAAAGGAATCTGTCAGACTAATCATATGCTCTCCCAACAATTTGCCGTGTCTGAGCATACAATTTGCCATGTCTCATTTCACCCCCTCTCCTATCTAGGATTTCTTCTTCTACCCACCTCATTCCTCTCCCTACTCTATGCATCTTCTCAGAATTAGCTGAGCTTTCTGATGAGGCGTTTGAGCCAGATAATGCTGACCTGACTTTTCTGACAGCCAGCCAAGGCCAAATTCCTCACTTTCAGGGGGTCTTACTTAGAACTGGGCATTGTGGAAGGAATGGTTTCTCTACCTTATTCAGATAGCAGCTGAAGCGTATCTTGAGATTCTGGGACTGCCTGCATTAATCCTGGAAGTCCATTAGCATTCTGCCTCTATTCCTTGCATAGTTTTCAGCACTGCGGTCCTTTATTAGACCTAACATTAAACTTTTCAATGGTGGCAAGCCAAATTTTATTTATTCATTACGCATTTGTTTTGGGGGGTTTGCTCGGATTTATTAACTTCGTTATGCAGTACTTAGGTGAAGACGTGGTCTGCATTTTGGTCTTATAAATTAGATTGATTCCCTGCTGTTTTGCAACATTTTTGCTGTAGTTTAATGGCTTTCCTTCAAGAGCTGCAGAATGTAATAGATCATCTTTTGAAATGCCACATTAATTAGAAGGGGTGGTTCACAAGATGACTACATAAAATGAGATCAGTATATGGTAATCTGCTTTGGAATTGGATAAAAAAGAAACATGCATTGGGAATTTGAACTACTGTGGCCTTGCCGGTATATGACACAGGCTGAATTCACACAGCATGCTAACCAACGCTGGTACACAAGCTAGGCATGGCTCATTGTGTTACCTGAGTCCAGCACTATGCTGAGTTAACTACTCTGGCTGGTTTCAGGCAGTATGACAATCCAACCTTGGTTTATGGTGTTGTGTGAACCCAGATTCTTTTACATTAAGATTATAGTAACTCCAGCAGGTAAGTTTTTCTGTCATTCAATCTGTGGCTTACAAATGCATCCTTCCCATTCTGTGCTCCACAGCAGGAGTTAGACAGACTGAGCTGAGCAATCTCTTGGTTTAGAGTTAAGGCTCTGCAATTTTTTCCATTTGTGACATTTATCTAACTCACTTATTATTCCATTAACCTGCTTTAGCATTTAAACAAAAACTGTCATCATGAGGGCCAAGTCGTAAGATAAGAAATACTCTTTGATGCCAATGGATGATTTTTCAGTGAAAATTTCCCCATCCTTTTTCTTAATAAGGTCATTTGTGTAAAAAGAGAGCCTTCATTCTTTAGAGTTTTTGGTTCTGACATTCATTACTCTCCAGAAGTCTGTATCTATTCCACCAGGGTAGTTTGTGCAGGTTATTTATTTTAATGTCAGCTGGAAGATTAAAATTTCAGTCTAATAACAAGTCAAAGGAGGACCTGATTTCCCCAACAATAAAGATTTTGCTTCATGCTTGCATGCCTAAAAGGAACAGGGCTGTAGAAGTGAATCATAAACACTTTTGTTTTTCTGTAAACACTTATAACAATTTGCATGCACTGGGGAAAAGGTTAGCATGCATCACAAGAATGAATTTGTATTCATTTACTTTAAAATATTAACTTGTCTTTCAAGATACGCTGCCCTCACAAGGCAGCTGACAATATTACAAAAGTTTTAATTTATGAAACAATTAAACTCTTGCATGCGGCAGTAGCTGTAATGGCTTTTAAACGCCAAATGTTTAGAATGAATGTGTTCTCAGCGTTTTTATAAAAGCCATAAATGATTCTGGGGGAAGGAGTTCCAAAGGTGTGGGGCCACCACTGAAAAAGCCCTGCTAGGAGTTTGAAGAGTAAGCTCCTCTGATGTGAATGCCTGGTCAGGCTCATATGAATATAGATGGTTATTCAGATAAGGTAGTCCCAAACCATTTTGGGCATTCAAACTGAAATCCAGCATTTTGCATTAGATCCAGAAACTAGCAAGCAGTCAACATGAGTGATGCAAAATAGCAGCAATTTAGCCCAAATACTGAGCTTCTATAGATTGTGTTTACTACAGAACTGTCTTCAGCTGCACGAAACTGCCTTCCAGGGCAAAAGCCTTGCTGGCTCAGACCGACGATCCATTTAGTACAGAGTCAGTTCACACAGTGTCTGGTATACACTGGCTGTGAATTCGTTTCCATCCACAAATCAAATGGATTTTGATTTTGGACTTTTGAACCCTTAACAGTTTGAGCTTGGAGTATTTGAGAGACTACCCGATACCTGCTCAATGGTTAGAGGCCCTGCTTAAAGTGCCCCCACCTCATGAAATGATCTATCCAGCAGTGGGTAAACTGGTGCCTTCCAACATCTTTGAACCACAGCTCAGGATGGCATAAAGTTGTCTAGCACCCACCAGCACGGATACATACTCCTTCTCTGAATGCGGTTCTTCATGAAGCCAACCTAAGGAAGGTTATCAGCAGACCGAAGATTATGTTTTTGTTTTTGTTTAAAGGATTTGTCAAAAAAGACAAAGGGGAAGAGATGGGGGAACAGCCCAAACCTCAATGGAGCCTGAGCAAGCTCAATGGGCCTGGATTTCTAACTGTTGGTGGAGGAAATGAGGAAAGGGCAGGTAATCTAGTATGTGGGAACAAGGCAGAACTAGCAGGCAAGAAACCTGAGCAGGAGCATTCCATACTGCAATATTTTGCTGCAGATTTCACTTGTACTCCTTAATCATCACAGGCACAGAGAATAACTCGTAGCTCCCCTCTGCCAAAATCCTTATAGCCCTGGGCCAGGGCTATGTTCTCCAAAACAAAACCTACACTAATATTACTTTGTTTTTCATTTGTCACTAACTAGATTCATTTTCCCATTCTACATTTTTAATTTTTAAATGACTTTATCATCATCATCAAGGTATGCTATTTACCATTTTGGGAGACTCAGAGGAGGCAGGAATAAATAGGTCTCATGCATTTAATGGCATAGGATGAGACACAACTGCTGTTTTAAGAGGTCCATGTTGTTGTTGCTGCTGCTGCTTTCAATTAACATTATTTGAACTCTTCAGACTGTTTTAAATTTTGGATGCTGAAATCATGGTGTGTTTTATTATATGAGGACTTTGTGCTGTATTTTATTATAGTGCCTGGTGTTCTTATTATGAACCACTCAGGAAGCTTCAGCTATTGGGCAGTACAGAACTGAAACAAAATACCTAATTCATAAACCAACGTAAAACTTGAAATCCAGTGCCAGATTGCAGTTAGAGGATCAGAGTGAGCCTCTGGAAACTAGAATTCTTGTCCCCACTCAGCCATGAAGCTCACTGGATGACTCTGGCCGGGGCGGGTGTTGTCCGTGCCTCGGGTTCCCCGCGAGAACGCATGAAACCGAGCCGGATCCGCGGCGAAGGCCACGCACCAGGCGCAGAGACCGGCCGCGTCAGCCGCGAGCCGCCGCGAAACCAAGGCCTCCCGCCCACGTGGGAGAAGACTGTCCATCACACGCCGGGGCGGAGCCATCACTCCACCAGCCAACCGGAGGCCGATCCCGCGCCGCGCACCGCCTCCTTGGGAGAGGCCGCCCCGGGGAGGCCGCGGCGCTGCGCGCTCCCCCGGCCGCGGCGCCAGGGGGCGCTCGGCCGCCGCCCGCAGGAGCCCCGG